GAGACTCCAAAAAAAAAAAAAAAAAAATGGATAGGCCTGCATGAGGCAAAACGACTGCCTCTCTAAAATGTCCATATGGTAATCTTGGCACTTGTAAATGTTACCTTACATGGCAAAGGGGAAGTGAGGTTGCAGATGGACGTAAAATTGCTCATCAGTTGACTTTCAGATAGGGAAAGTTATCCGGAATTATCCCAGTGGGCCCAATGTAATCGCCAGGCTCCTTAAAAGTAGGAGAGGAGAGTCAGAAGAAGAGGAAGATGTGGAGACAGAAGCATGGTCAGAGTGATGTGATGGGAAAAGGACTTGTCTTTGCTGACTTGAGCCAAGGTGTGTGAGTAGCATCTAGAAACTGGGAAAGGCGAGGAAGCAGATGCTCCCTAGAGTCCCAAGCGGGAACATCCTTGGGGCCTGGCCAGCATCTTGGTTTTAGGCAATGTGGCCCACTTCAGACTTTTGACCTCTAGGGCTCTAAGATACTACATTTGAGTTGTGTTAAGCCAATAAATCCGTGGCAACTTTTTTATAGCAGCAAAGAAGAACTGATGTAAGGCCTAATATTGAAAAAAAAAACAGTGCCACTGAAATAGGTATAACATTTCTGTCCCAGAACATTTTTTCCTAGAACATTCTTTCACCCTGTCTCAGTAATATAATCAGACCCTGAACACATCAATATAGCTAAAGTGCTTCTACAGAGAACTCCCAATAAACTGAATGTTTTATTTCCCCCAAATTCCTATATTGAAATGGTATCCCCTCAAGGTGATGATATTAAGAGGTGGGGCTTTTGGGAGGTGATTAAGCTGTGAAGGAAGAACCCTCATGAGTGGGATTAGTGTCGTATACAAAGGATCCTTGAGAGCTCTTGGCTCCTTCTTTTCCATGTGAGGACACAGCAAGAGCAAGGCAGTCTGCAGTTTGGAAGAGAGCATGCACCAGAACCTGACCATGCTGGCACCTTCTTCTTGGACTTCCAGCCCCCAGAACTGTGCTAAATAAGTGCTTGTTGTTTCAGCCACTACTTTGTTACAGCAGGGTCAACTGACTAAGACAAGGATAAATTAATGGATGGATGCAAAACAGACAGAAGTGAGTTTGGTACAGAGAATGTGATCAGTAAATGTGGCCAAGCTCCTCTTTCCCTTCACTGAATCAATCCAGAGTATCACGTTGGATAGAATATTTACAGAATCTTATTAAATGGGATTACTAGGTAATCTCAACATTTCCAACACACACAGTTTTTAATAACTACTAGTAGTTTAGGCACTACTAGTAGTGCTTGATATTATGCCACATGCATTTTTCTTTCTTATGACTAGCTCTAAACTTACTTCTTTGTAGCTCCATTATATTCCATAACACAAATGTATTATGATTACTTTAATCATTTCCATTATCCAGAACATGAATTATGATAAAGGTAACACAGTGCTTGACTAATGATTCTAAATGTCTTTGAGGCATGGACACCCTTCTTCTTCTTCTTTTTTTTTTAAAGTTATTGCCTTTTAAAAAAACCGTCAAGTACATCCTTCCTTTTTTTTTTTTTGAGTTGGAGTCTCACTCTGTCACTCAGACTGGAGTGCAGTGGACACTCCCGGCCACTACAGCCTCAACCTGCTGGGCTCTGGCGATCCTTCCGCCTCAGCCTTCCAAGTAGCCGGAATTACAGGCACACGCTACCACGCCTGGCTAATTTTTGATTTATTGTAGAGATGAAGTCTCACCAAGTAGCCCGGGTGGATCTTAGATGTGCAGGCTCAGGCAATCCACTCGCCTTGGCCTCCCAAGGCGCAGTATTACAGGCTGAGCCACCGAGCTTGGCTAAGTACATCCTTCTTAATGCCATGAAATTATGGTTCCAGAAACGGGGGAAGCTGAGGAGGGAGGATTGCTTGTGCCGTTAGTTTGAGACTGCAGTGAGCTATGACAGTGACACTGCACTCCAGTCTGAGGGAAGGTCTGAGACTTTGTCTCTAAGAAAATAAAATTAAACTAAAAAAAAAAAAAAAGGAACTTAGGTTAAGGATTCCTGTTCTAGACCATTTGAGGCTCTGGTTCAATTTGTGAACCTGCAAGTACCCATCACAACACATAACAACCGTCAGCTTATGTCCCAGGGAGCTGCTGCTCTAAGGTTTTATGTATACTAATGCAATTCACTCTCATCACAAGCCTATCTTCAGAAAGCTCGAAATGGTAAGAAGAGGCAGAGACAGGACTGAAATCCTGGAAATCAACATGTTAAATCTGGTCTTAAATCCTACAGACACACATCATTTCATGAAAAAAAACCCAAAACTTGCCTGAACCTTTAAGACGTGTAGTAGTTTTGTCCTCAGGGATGCCTTCTTGTTAGAATGCTGACCTAGGGGATACAGAATGAAAAGAGTGAGACACCAGGGCATTTTTGGAGTGAAGGCAACATGAGAAAATAATCTCCAGAACACATACCCCCAGGCCGTACCCAGAGCCTTTCAGAAATGAGGGCCCTGAGATCTGAGTTTCTGAGATTCCTGGACTGTGATCTACACTGAGACTCTGAACAGGGGGCTGCCCCCTCCCCACCTCCCTTTGGGGGCCATCTCTTTACAAAAGGAAGTCGACTCTGGAGGTCTCCTCCTGTCATCAGAAGGCCTACACAAGGAAAGTACTTCTGACTCTGCAACTGTCACCCCAAGAGTGTCTTTGCCCTTTTTGGTCATTTTCATGACAGAGTTCAGGTCCTCCTGTTCCTTTGTAGCCACTGTCCTCAGGTGGGTGCCACTGGCTGGGAGGAGACCGTCACACACACCTGGCTCGCCCAGAACGCCACCCACCCAATCACCCAGTCCCCAAGCACAAACCTGCACCAGCCACAGCCTCCCGGCTGCACACGCTGTCAAGGGACACAACTCTGCCCTGTCACACCCACCAACATCCACATCCGAGCCCTGACAACCCCACAGAAAAGACACATCTGCAGCCACGGAGACACATCTGGCCGTGCCATCCCCACAGAGCCCACGGGAATGTACCTTCAGGAGACACTGTCGCCCCTCGGAGGCTCACACGACTCGAGCTGCGTCACCCCCAAAGCCTCCAGAATGCTGGTGTCGCGGTGTAAAGCGCGCCCCACTCTCTCTCAAGCAAGTGCGTCACACGGTTGAGCGCCCTGCGCAGGTCGCCCCACCGAGCCCGCGTAGACACGGCTCCTGCGTCACCGATGCAGATGCTCACTCACCCCGCATGGCCCCGTTGCCCAGTGACGCTCGCTCGCACACCTGTGTCACAATTTCGCGGACAGAGGCGGTCGCGTCACCCTCGCACACTCCCACGCAAGTACGTCACACACTTGCTTGCCCGGTCCCCGTCACCCTGCAGAAGCCAATGCGCATGCGCACATGTCAGTCCCGGGGACAGGCCTCAACCACTGGGTGGCTGGGAGGCGCGCACAGACGCACGCGCACAGACCCGAAACACGTGCACGCGAACAGATCCCTGCATACAGAGCCTGATACCTGTGTGTACACAGACCCTGCGTGTGGCCACACTCTCCCGCGCGCTCCCGCACCCCCTGCCCTCCTCGGTCTCCCTGAAGCCGCAGGTGGAGGCTGTTTGGTGCCCTCACCTGGAGTGGCCCCTCACCGCACCCCTGGGTTCTTCCTGGGACATGAACAGTCCCCGCTCTGGGCGGGCACCACCGGGACGTCGGGAGCAGTGCCAGGGCTGGGAGGACGCGGACGGTATCCCGGGAGACCAGAGCCCGCGGGTCCCAGCATGCAGCTTGGGCTTCACGTGGGGCGGCTTGGAGACCCTGGGAAATGTAGTCCAGAAGGTTCTCCAGGTAGGGCCCTACAACAGGCCCGAGGTGGTGCCCAAAGTGGGAGCCTCCCTCTGAGCACATCCTGCTCCAGAGGGAAGACGGCCAAGGACCTCGGCCGGCCTCTGGATAGAGTGGTGCTGATCAGGACACAGCTGTCCTCAGCGTGATGCCCCCCGCCCCCTTTTTTTGAGTTGGAGTCTCACTCTGTCACCCAGACTGGAGTACAGTGGCACGCTTCCCGCCACCGCAGCCTCGACCTGCTGGGCTCCGGCGATCTTTCCGCCTCAGCCTTCCAAGTAGCCGGAACTACAGGCGCGCCCTACCAGGCCTGGCTAATTTTTGATTTTTATTGTAGAGATCAGGTCTCGCCAAGTTGCCTGGGTGGGCCTCGAACCCGCGGGCTCAGGCAATCCACTTGCCTCGGCCTCCCAAAGTGCTGGGATTACAGGCTGAGTGATGTCCCCTTTTGATTGCCTCCAGGGGCAAGTCACCTGGTATGTCCACAGGCCTCAGTCACAGGCTGCCTTGAGCTTCTAGTCAGTTTCCCCTCCTTGCTGGATTATAGACAACATACAGGTGGCAGTTGCATCCCTCAGTCTGAGTCTCACGGAGTCCTAATATCCATAGGGTCTGGCATGGTGCAGGACTCAACAAAAGACTGATTTTGACTCCAAAATCTACCTTTTGGAATTTATCCCAAGGAAACAGCTGAAGTAGTATACACATATATGTATGTCCAAGAATGGTCGGAGAATGATTTCTTTTTTCTGTGAAAGGTTTTCTTTTTAAACTGGTAGAATTGTAGATTCATGTGTACAAATAATTCTGAGAGATCCTGTGTGCCTTTCACCCGGTCACTCCAACTGGTGATTATAGTACATCCTATAATATCACAACTGGGACATTCATATGGATATAATCTATTGGTGTTATACAAACTTCCAGAGTGTAATTTTTAAAATGAAAATTTTACAGTAGAAGACAGGAAAATCTCACAGTAGAGGTCTACCATATAACTGCATAAAATACATTTACTAATAATGATATTGATTCTTATTAATTGAGAAAGGTTTAAAAGGCACATAAAATATGGGCAGAGTTGTTTTGGTGAAATTAAGAACACAGGCTCTGTGGTCTGCTTTTTAGGATGTGAATGTGAGTTTTGATTAGATTATTAACCTCACAGTGTCTGCTTTCTCACTGGTAAAATTGGAATAAAGATACTAAAAGGGGCTGGGTGTGGTGGCTCAAGCCGTTAATCCTAGTACTTTGGGAGGCCAAGGAGGGAGGATTGCTTGAGCCCAGGGGTTCAAGACCAGCCTGGACAACATAATGAGACTTCGTCTCCACAAAAAATAAAAAAGACTAATACTACTTTCCAACAAGATAATCTACATAAAAATTTGCAGTAATACGCAAGAATTACTTAATATATGGTAACCGCAATTTTTGAAGATCAGTAACATTATATATGCCTTAATCCACTTTTATAAAAGTAATTCAAGTGTGGTATTTCTTTTTCTTTTCTTTTTACCAAAAATATGTGCTTCTTATGCCAGCTGTCAATATCATAAATGCTAAGACATTAAGAGGCTGATATTGCAAATGAAATTGTTTTTGTCAACCATACTAGCCAAAAAGATTCTAAGATGTATAAAGAGGCAATACTCTCTCTCCACCAGCAACTTGGAGGATGGAGACAGAGACATGATTCTGCATACAAAATCTAGCTCAAAAATTCTAATCTGATGCCAAATTGAAAATATTAGCATGAGGTTGATTCTTGTTCTCTTTTTGATTCGGGAGAAGAGATATATGTAAACATTTAAATGACTGCCATCTAATTCTATTCCATATACTTTTGAAATGCTATTTATACAGTCTTTATTTGTTATTTGTAAATATAACCTTGGACATGCTATTTGCACAGTTCATACTTGGATGGCACCCAGTGGTTATTTTCCAGTTCATCCATGATTAATATGTTTTGTGAAAGAAGCATCAAAATCCTGGAAAATCTAGATCCGAAACAATGTTTTTCTTGATAATTTGTTGCCACGGGTTTTGTTTAAGACAATGTAACTGTAATCCTTAAGGTGTAAATATGTGAGAGCATTCTGGAAGCAAAGAAACATGACCGGCACGCTTTCCTCTTTCCACATTTTTTGAGTATGTGTGCATTACATGGTCAGGTTGGTTTCCTTTTACAAACTACGATTTGGAGAGTCTTTGACTCATTTACATGATTGATTAATCATATTCAATGCTCCAGAAACAAAAAACACAAATATGCCTAGTGACAGAGGGGAGGAATGTAAACATTCATACTAAAAGTTAACATGAATTATCTCTGGATAGCACAGGTATCGGTAATTTTGAGTTTCCTCTTGGTGAACTTCATAGGGGAATATATTTTTTTGTGGTAGGCTTGCATTAATCTCATTATAAAATATGTAACTAAATTAGCTGAGCGTGGTAGCATGCGCTTGTAGTTCCAGCTATTTGGAAGGCTGAGGTGGAAGGATCGCCAGAGCCCAGCAGGTTGAGGCTGCGGTGGCCGGTAGCGGCCATTGCACTCCAGTCTGGGCGACAGAGTGAGACTCCAACTCAAAAAAAAAAAAAAAAAATGTAATTTTAGGAAGTCCCAAATAGATTATACTTATGGAGGAGAAGATATTTCCTCTATCCTAGTCCTACTCAGTTGTGCCCTGGGAGCAGTTCTGCCCATCTGTGGAACTAAATGGGGAAAGCCTGTTGGTGCCCATAGGCTGACCTGCTGAACCTGGTACTTGAGCCAACCATAGAAATGTGCTATACCACTCTCATCTGTGGTTTGAGAATCAGGTTTGCAGCCCATGAATCCATCAAGAGACATACATGCCTGTCTGTTGCACAGACACAGGCCTGAGAACTTTGGTCTGTGCTATGGACCATGAAGCAGTCCTGTGATTGGTTCCAGCCTTTTTCGGCCATGGGCTACAGCAATACTGCTTTCCCAGTTATCCTATGGGAGCTTACCTAGGGATATGGAGGAAGCTGCATCAATCTACACACTTGGTAACAGACAGTGCTACGGACCCTGAAGTGGACCCTCATCCCACCACCAGCCACATGGATCAAGTTTATGAACACAGTTGTGTCTGTTCAGGGACCAGAGAAGATTCCTGTCCTGAAAAGTCCCTGGTCACAGGCTTGTCAACCACAGAATCCACTGTGGACCCACCAGCAGTCATGTGACCCAGTTCCAGCCTGACTCAATCACAATACTGGAGGCAATCCTGTTAGCTGGGCACCTAGTGAGAGTAGGCATGAACTTGCTAAACCAGTGTGTAAGGCCTGGAAGGGGAGTTGGTCACTTCAAATGCGCAGACACCAGTGCAAGGTTACACAGGTCACAGAGAGTCAGGCACACATAACACCACCAAAGGAACCTTCTGAAGCTCCAGCAATTGCTGCCAAAGAAATGGATATCTACAAAATAAAAATAGAAACCATACAGCAGAAGCACACAGAAATCCTGAAACTGAAGAATACAATGATAAACTCAAAACTCTAAAAGAGGGAACCAATAGCAGATTCAATCATGTGGAGGAATTAGTGAACTCAAAGGAGTTATTTGAAATTAGCCAATTAGGAGAACAAAAAGAAAAGAAGATAGCAAAAGAGTGAAGAAAGAGGAAGAGACCTATGGGATACTTTCAAATATATGAATATATGATTTATAGGGGTTGAAGAGTGAGAAGAGATAGAAAACCGGGTGCAGGGTATCTGGGAACCTTGTGTATTATCTTTACAGTTTTCCTATACACTTAAAACTGTTCTAGAAAGAAAAAAAACTATTTTTTTGAGTTTCCTCTTGGTGATCTTCAGGGAAAATATTTTCTTGTGGTAGGACTGCATTAATCTCATTATAAAATATGTAACTTTAGGAAGTCCCAAACAGATTACACTCATGGGGGAGAAGATATTTCCTCTATCCTAGTCCTACACAGAATAGAGGAAGATAAAAGAAGGCTATATAACCGTATGTGGCCCACAAATCACAAAATAGTTACTACCCAACTTTTTACAAAGTTTTCCAACCTTTGTCCTAGGACCAGGACTCACACTCAACATCAAATCATGCTGCTCTCACAGTTTACACGAAGAAGCAAGTGAGAAAAATCGAGGCTGTCAGCCTCAAAGAAAATCTAGTTAAAAATAAAGGAACAAATTTCAATACACTGATTACTTGGAAAGCATTCATGTCTTTGATAACAGAAATTTTTTCAAACCCTACTTTTTTTTTTTGAGTAGTGGTCTCACTCTGTTTCCCAGGTTTGAGTGCAGTGGCACGATTATAGCTCATTTCATCCTTAACCTTCTGGGCTTAAGTGATCCTTCCACCTTAACCTCCCCAGTAGCTAGGACCATGGGGAGTAATTTAAAA